AGCTGCTTTGGCCTTGGAGCCCACGGGTGAGTCCCAGCAGCCTTTGGGACCAGCACAGGCTGCGTGATACTTCTCCTGGCCATGCAAAGTCAGTCCCAGCCTAGCTGTAGCCTGTTCCAGGTGGGTAGAGCAGCTCTCAGCGGCCGGGACCTCTTACATTTGGCTGCTAGAGGCTGTGGCGAGGCAGTGGTGTGGATGACAAGCTTGCTGTGAGGTACTGCCTTGAAATCTAGTCCAAGCCAGCATCCCTACATCTGCTGTGCACGTCAGAGCCAGGATGCTGCAGGGCTGCTGGCCAGGCACAGCACCACGGCCAGGTTTATTTAAAGCTCCATCCTTGCCACTAGATGGGGAATCGGAAGGAACTTCTTGGTATCAAAATATTCCCTTTATCTCTTCATTTCTGCTCATCGTCATCTTCTTCTGGCTTGGATGCCTTCTTAACTGTCTTCCCAGTTTAAAACACTGTGTGAAATGGTGGGGTTCTGTGAGTACAGCAGGATATGTTTACACAGAGAGGAACCCTTGGGATGGGTATGTAGTTGCCTTCCTCGACAGCCTCACGCCCTTCGCAGGGCCAACTGCTGTGAAGCTTCATTATTGGAGCTCATTCTTGTGAGGCAGCAAACCTCTGGAAGTTTGTGTATACACATATACATCTATACACACAAACTGTTGAAATATTTCAATTTTTAGTTTTCTTACTTATTTTGCTTCTAAGGCCAAATCGTGCATGCCAACCTAAATATGCATATCAGGTATGCAGACACTTGAGATTCTAAAACCAGAACAGCCTCTTTTAATGGGAAAAAAATATTTTGGGGCTGGACTTCTCCTTGTCTGTCTGGAATGTTCTAATTTCTTTGAAAATGCCTAGCACTAAAGCAGACCTACTGTTGAAATGATGAAGGTCCTGTGGACTGCCAGTATGAAGCATAAATTTTATGAAGAACATCTGCAAAGTGTGTTTTGAAGCCTTGCTTCAGGGGACAGTGGAGATAGTGCTCAGTGCTTCAGAAAGCTCTTTCCTGGAAGGCCCATCATAGAACATGGCTGTGAGCTCTACAGAAATCTGACTTTCCAGCAACAGTGCTGAGTACAGACATCAGAAATGACAAATCTATACAGAGGGAGAAGGTTCTTCAAGAGGGAACTGTCCCACCAACAAATCCATCTTTCCTGTGCTGTTTTGTTTTAGCTTGCACATGCACCAACTTGCCACCAGGAATCTTCTCTAACCCTGCTCAGTAGTTTTCCATTTGAATAACCAACTAAATCCTAACCACAGTTTCCTTGCAGGAAAGAAAAGTCACAAACTTCTCTTACTAAATAACTCCTCCGAGTTCTGCACAACAGTATAGAAAACACATACTGTGATTTTGTAAACTGCTAGTTTATGCTTGTAGGAGAATTTCTAAGAGCCCCACCACTTCTGTTACAGTCCTATAGCACGACTTCTCCAGCAGGAGAAAAAAGAGGTTGTGCTCACGTTGATGGTTCCTACCATCAGACAATCTGTGGGAATTGCTTGTGTTTCACTTAAAGTTTATCCCTTTCCTGTTTACTTCGAGGAGCACTGAAAGCTTTTTAGAAATGCCTCCATTTTTCTTGGCATGGGGCTGTTAATTCTTGTATAGATTTTTATTGTGGCCTCTTTTTCTAAAGATAGATATTTTGGCTGCTGAAGAGTAGTTCAATAAAAAATATCAAAGTGGTTTGTATAAAGAAGGATCTCCAAACACAATGTTCTTGGGGTTTGAAGTGTCCTTTTTACCCCTCCATAAAAGCTACATCACTAGCTCTTTTCTGAAGTCTCTGAGATTCTTGTCTTTTGCAAAGTAAGCCTTTTTCAATGTAAATATTTGGATTTAGGTTTTTATTTATAATACTTAGGAAGATCACCCTTTTCAATCAGTGAAAATAAAGCCTTCTCAAGAAAGCATTTCAGCTCCTCTGACTCATACATGGAAAGATAAGACTTCCTAATTGGAGGCACGTAACAGAGATTGGGTAAAAAACCTTTTTTTCCTTTCTTTTACTGGCCTGTAAAATCAAACCAGAATGCAGGCCTTAATCTGATTTTGAGTTACTACATGCAAAGTTGACCTTGAAAGTACTGAAGTCAAAGTAATGCTGGCAGTAAAACTCACTGTGTTTTTTAATAACCTTAGGACGTTTTTATGACAGTTGGTTAACTGTGGCTATAAAGCATAAAAAGAAAAAAACCACCCTACTATCTTTCTAATTTAGAAATGGGCATTTTTTTTCAGTTGAAGGCAAAATACTTGCAAACAAGTTTGAATTCTCAGCAGAAGTCCTCATTTCAAATGGTTTAACTATTTCCAGAACTTTTTTTTTGTTAAAAGGTGTATGCCTTGCAGAGAAGTGCTGTTGTAGATTGGAGACACAGTGGTGGCCACAGGAACAGAGTCATCGAGCTGTGCAAGCCCCTGGGTCCCTGCATCTACCTGTCCCCAGTGTTTCCTTCTTGTTCCTGCTCATAGCCTCCATTAAAACAAGTCAGTTGTCTCAGTGGATGTTGGAATGTTAAGAGAGTCTCTTAATTGCGTCCATTTTACTCACCTTGATCTATTTAAGGTTGTTTATTCATATAAGATAGGAGGATGCTTGTAATTCTGGTAATGGAGCTCCTGCCAACCTTCAGCCCCTGTGTTTATTTAGAACATCTGTGTGATTTACTGCAAAACCTTCCCATCTCCCAAGTGTTTACTGATGGATGAGCTCCACTGAGACGTCCCAGCTCATAATTCACAGCTCACAACATAATTCAGAAAAGAAACTTCTGTTCTCAACATACAGACCTCTTGCAGGGATATGGCATCAGATTATTTCAGATACTGATGATCTGAATGATCGTGATGCTAGAGTGAAGATCAGTGGCTGGTTAAGCTATAGCTTCTAAGTTTAAAACAGACTCTGCAGTGACCTGGCATCACCCAGTAGCTCCTCTTTCCCATCATTATTTTTTTAAGCAGACAGCCCCATCCATGTGCCAGCTCAGGCACTGATGAGCATTGGCACCTTGGAGCAGGGGAGGTGCCAGTTAAATGCAAAGTGCCTGGACCTGCTGCTGTGCTTGGGAAGACTGTTGCAAGTATGTCTCAGCTAAAACTTCCATCACCAAAGAGCTGAAAAAGCTGAGCAAGAGGCAGTGGTTTGAACCATGGTGCGTGTGTACCAGCTCAGCCCGTCCCTAGAGATCACAGCCTGCTGCAGAGGGACTCAGTAGCTATGTGGTCAGTGCTGAGGTGGAGTCTCAGCCTCCTGCACAGGCCTTCAGCTGCCTGTAACAAGGAGAGATGGCCAAACCACGATGCCATCCCCATCCCACAGGGGCAGGGTGTTCATGGGCATATTTGGTCTCAAAACACAGGCCCAGCAGGTTCAGGAGAGGCAAGTCTTTTCTGTTAACTCTATACTCCTCAAGGTGACTGTCACCGTTAGCTTGTTCATTAGCTAAAGCTGAGTCAGGTCACACAGACCTCAGCCTCAGGGTGGACTTTGAATCCTGATGATGTAATTTCTGATTTAGGGGGAAAAAATAGCTTATTTTCCTATAATGCAGTCTCTGCATCACTGCAGAGCACACAACAGTCTCAGGAGAATCTTGATTTTTCTCATGGAAGTAGTCAGCATTGTTAGTCAAGATCTGATGGTACTTTAAAGAGCAGGAGATCAGACTTCCAAATTTGCAGCACAGGCTATTTTGGGCAGGGTTTGGTATAATCCTGCTGGGTGATGGGTGCCACAGTGTGCTGAACGGGGAGCAGAAGGCACAGGTTCATCTCCCAGCAAGGGTCAAATGCTGCCCACGCTCCCGTGAGGGTTTGAATAATAAATGCTTCTCCTTCCTAGGGTGAAGACACTGAGTGTTGGGGGGATTGGCACCAGCTGTACTGCGAGAAGTTGTTTTGGGTTTAGTGCTTTGCTAAGAACCGTGTCAGAGTGGTTCCCGGGCGGTGCTGCTGGGAGGAGGGGGAGGCAGGTCTCCAGGGAGCCGGGTGGAGCTGCTCCTCTGGGCCACTCTGCCATCTGCAGGCCAGCGCTCGCCGAGCTGCAGAGCTGCAGAGCAGGGCCTGGGCGCCTGTCCTGCCCCAGACATCACTGTGGGTAACAAGGTGGGGGGTTTATAGCTAATTATTGCATCATAAATCCCATTTGTTTCTATCTGATCCTGTCAATCATCACCTCAGTTCTGGCAAAAAAGCAAGGATAGTGGGGATAAGCAACCTACTTAGATTTCTCTAGAGTTTAATGAAAAATTGTTTGGGTGTTTTTTTTTGTCTGTTGATCATTTTCATAAGTAAATGTTTTTGTGCTTAAAAATGAGACGTTTCATGAAAGACAAATTCTGGTCAACATTCTCAGTCCATTAAAACTTTAGTAGCTCTTTCTGTTGGTGGTCTTAGATGACAGTATCACTATAGTATCCAGCTCCTGTTGAACGGTGAGAGTTTTGCTGAGAAGGGGATATGTGTGTGTGATGACCAAGTAGCTTTCCAAGCATCCTAAGGATCCTTGGTTTTGTAGTCCACAAATGGATAGAGGATGCACCAAAGCTATTTGGCTTCCACACAGCAGCCTGTGGCCACTACTTCTTCAGAGGGGCCATCCCCACCAACACCTCCATCCAAAAAAAAATCAACACACTCAGCAGCAGTGTGATATTTTCTGAGAGGAGTCACTGATTTACACTAGTGATTCCACTATTAGATACCTTTTTTATTTTAATACTTATTTCAGTAGCTTAACTGTATCTATTGTTGCCTTCTTACTGCCCAGGTATTTGAAAATGAAATAATCTGTGATTCCCTAAGCTGTTTGGTTTTTAACCATTGATAAAGTCTTTACTGGGTTGGTTTTGCTGTAGGTACATTACTGATCAGTTGACGGCTTTCAAAGGTAGAACGAAATTTCACGTGTAAAGTGAAACTTTTGGTGTGTACCACACACTCAGTGGTTTTTCCTCTTTGTTTTAGGTCTTCCTGAACAATACTACAGCCTCACTTGGTTCCTCAGCCCCATCCTGGGGCTGATCTTCACCCCGCTGATCGGCTCGGCCAGCGACCGCTGCACGCTGAGCTGGGGCCGCCGCCGGCCCTTCATCCTGGCGCTCTGCATCGGCGTGCTCTTCGGGGTGGCGCTCTTCCTGAACGGCTCTGTCATAGGTAAGGAGGGAGGAGGGCCCCTGCACACACCTCCTGCCGGCACGCCTGCTCTGCACCCTGCTGCAGGAGGCAGAGCTAACGGCACGCAGTGGGTTTGACTTGTTCAGAGCTCAGATGGTAGGAGATCTCTGCAGTGCTGCGTTGGAGCTGTTCATCCTGCACGTTTCTGTTCTGGCTCCAAAGTTAGGGTGCTGTGCTGGTGCTGTGTGACCAGAGCTGTGACTGCTCCTGCAGTGCTACTGATACAATGGTCCCCAGCAGTGTTTGCAGTCCCTGAGACCAATTGGGTCGATCCTTGACATGGGAAAATTGTAGCAACCTGTTCACAGGGAAATGTTTCCTGTTGTGATCCATTTTCCCTTTAATGCATATCTGGCAACACATCCTGTTTCCAGCATTATTTCAAAAATTATCTTTTCACTTTTTCTTGTGCTTTTCTTAGACCTGGTATTGAAAAAGTCCAGAACACAGTTAATATTTGTTTATCAAAAACTATGTGGGAAAATAATTTTTCCTGAGCCCTCATCAAAGCTGGTAAAAATAGTTTCCCTTGAACATAGTTTACTACAGAACTTAATCTACAATCTCTTTGTAAATTTAGTGTAGGAGAGGTGACAGCGAGTACGTTTGAGGAAATGTTTACATCAGGGTTGGACTTTCCAAATGAAAGGAACTTAGCACCTAATAATATCCTCTTGGCTCCCTGGGTTTTTTTGAGTTAGATGCAGCTCTATTGTGTAAAGTTTTACTAACTGAGGGAAGTGAATGGAACATTACCTTGGCTCAGCTTGTTAGCTTTTTAAAGCCAGCTTGGGCTGCCATAGGGTGGGTTTCAATTTTCTGCAACCTGCAACAGGACAAACTGTTCAGATGAATGACATTTAGCTTAGGCTTTTTCTTTTTAATTTACACAAACAAATATTAATTATTTGAATTGCTATCATATGGTATAGATTGTACTTTGTTATTGTGTCTCCAGGACTTGTCCCTCCTCCTCCAGATGTATGCAAGATGTTAGACTGCAGCCCTCTGACAAGATTTTAAGTGCTAAGAAGCTCTCACTGCCACACAGTAGTTTAGGTCAGCAGCCACCAGTGCTGGCAAGCCAACCTCACAGACAGTTTGTAGGCTTATTTTGAAGCATCTCGGCTTCTAATAAATCAGCACAAAATACTGTCTTGTATTTTTCTGCAGTTCTTTCAATAATACAGTCACATCACTTTCTAGAAAGCCTGTGCTTTCCAGATACTCCAGTGGTACTTCTGGGCAATGAAACTTCTTGAAAACACAGAGGTTGTTGCAGTGCCCCACGAAAGAGAGCTGTGTGCTTTGTGCATCAGTCCCTGGGATGTGGTTGTGGTAGATTTTGGGCAAAAACCCTCTTCTGAAAAGCACTTTAAATACTTCTGTGCCTCTCCCAAGGCAGCCTGGAGCAGACTGAAGTAAGAGCTGTTCCATGGTCATCATAAAATGCCTTGATCCAGAAGGGACATCAACAGGGCATCTAGTCCAACCCCCTGCAGTGAGCCAGGACATCCCCAGGTCTTCTCTGGGGATACCTGTTCCATACTAAAAGACAGCAGTTTGCAGCTAACATTGAACATTCAGTTTACATCAGCTTAAGACAAGCACCTGATCTGCTGTTGGGAGCAGATGCACAATATGGCAAACCAATATTGGTCTTTCTCAAATTGAAGTTCCTGAAATGGTGGCTTGTGTCACTGTTCAGAGAGAAAAGGCATTGCCTCCCAGTCTCTCCCAAAAGGAGTTGTTTAGGGGTTTGCAGAAGAAGGCCTGGTTTGTAACCAGATTTGCTTCCAGATGGACCCTTTATCCTTTCATTGTCCATCTTCTTCCCATTTCATGTTCACAATTTTCTATCCTTAGTCTGAAGTGATTTGCAATCCTAATTTCATCTGGGGGCTACAGGAGGTGCTGCAGAAACTGAGGTGGTCACTTTTCATAACCCGGCTGCTGGCAATAGCAGCCTTAGGGAGGGGGACAAGGAGAAGAAAGAGATTCATCAGTCCTAACAGTAATGCAGCCACATCCCAAGATCTGTGTCTAGGTTTTGTTCAGCCCTTGTTCTCTCCACTGTTCAGGTGTCCAGCAAATGTAAAGCACTGACACTGTTGGTGCTTCCT